ACTTTCAGCCTCATATCTCCCGCACCCTTATAGCTATCGAGACGCAACCACCCCTATGCACGAATGGAGACTTGGGGCTACCACCACATACAAACACCATTCACGTGCGATGTGTAGTTTTGGCGAAAAAGTGAAATATAGGGACATACATGTCCATTTTTATATATATAGATATAGATATAGATTATTACTTTTTCTTAAGGCAACGCGACACGTAAGCGATTTGATAAGGGGGAAAATGGCTCCTATTTACGTGTTACAACGTGAAGTTTGAACGATCGCGCCCAAAAGCAGCGATACCAAAGAAGATTGGAGAATGAGAACGAGATTCGCATTGAGCTTCAAAGTGATTTCGCTTAGTAGTGAGTCTCCCAGACATAGTCTTGTCCCAAATACGGTTTTGCCGTTTTACTTGTTTATTTTTAAAAACATATTATTCAACAATTAAATAATACAGTAGAACCCTGGTTATCTAAGATAATGTGGACTAAAGACAGCCAGGACTATTTCAGATTAAAAATTACAAATACAGAAGATTTATATGGTAAATCACTTTTTATACCATAGTAAATGTAATCATGTATATGAATATCAATTTTATGCCAATTATTATACATATAATGCCTACAATAGTTTTAAGGATAAAATTATGTATTTTTGTAGTACATTTTAATATGAATGGTTTGTGTAATTTAACATTAAAGTTAAATAATACAAGGTTAAGGATTATACAAATAATCCTCTGGCGATTGTGTAAACATATCTCATTGAATAATGTGTTACGCATTATTTTGTTTTCACAAATTTTCATTCAATGTATTATAGATTATAGTTTATCGATTTAGGTCATGGCTGCCCGATCTCTTAAATAAAACTGTGAGAGGCCAGATGAGATGAAAATTATAATTAATTACAACAAAATATATCATTTATTTAGACTAGCGCTTAAATTTCACATAATTCGAAAAAAGAAACAGATTTCTGAGCAAATTTAAAATTTTCTACCCATAACATCCTTCAAAATTAACTTGAAAAAATAATAATATACAGTGGAACCCCGGTTAACGAACGTCCTGGTTAACGACCAAATCGGTTAACGAACTTTTATTTTGCAAAAATTTTGTCTCGGATAACGAACAAAATTCGGATAACGAACGTAACGGCATTTTGTGTCAAATTTTAGTTGGTGTTAGGCATGCGCGAGTTAAGCATTGCTTTTCCGAGTGTTTGTGCTATACTTCTTTTTTCAGTTTTGTGATTTATATATTTAATCAATATGGCATCCAAGAAAGAAAAAAGTCATAGTGGCAATAGAAAACGACAACGCAATATGAACGACAATGCGCTATCGCATTTGAGAAAAATTTTGATTAAAAGAGTAAAACAATCAACTTTAGATCAATTTCTTGTTCCTTACGGAAAGAGTTCGTTTGTTTTGTTAAGTTATGGCAACGCAACACTTGGACGATCTGCCTAGGGGAATGCCTTCTGGGAGGTGTTTTTAAGGGAAACTGGCCCCTATTTAGGCGTTACAGACGTGGAGAAAACCCGGAAAACTCCACGTGGCCAGCCGGTCTGAGCGAGGTGCGAGCTCACGAACGAACTCCCCGTGTTCAGGGTACGAAGACCGCTTAGCTACTGGTGGGCTTTCTTACCGAAAGAGACTTCGACTCGAAGAATCTTCCGATGAAATGTTACCCATTATTTTTTTGGAGAGGATTTCCCTTCTAAGCATTAAGGTTCGTATAAATCCACTTTTCTGCCACCAACTACAACAAACGAAGGTATGTACAGTGCTATTTTATTAAACAAAGTTTACATGTTGTTGCTGTAATGATAGATATTACGTTTTAACGTAGCGCCATCTATTGGCAGAAAATTTAACAAACCGACAAGAATAAATATAATTTATATAAAAAGAATATAACTTTAATCTATATATATAATCGAGACGGGTTGATAATAATAATGATAATAATAATCTCAAGATCAAATCTCAAAATATATTAATCTCAAGAAAATCTCAAGACAAATTTGTAATGATTTTTCTGAAATTTGTGTATTAAGATATTCTGGTAACCCTTTGCATGCCAAGTGTTACCAGAATATCTTAATACACAAATTTCAGAAATTTTCGACA